CACTGCCGGCGGGGCACCCGCCCGCGCCAGCCACTGTCCTCCTCCAGCGCCAGCTGCTGGTGAGCAGCTTCTGAGGACAGCTCAGTAACCTCGGCGCTCTGCTGCCACACGCAACCGCTCGCTGCTATACTGGGTGTGTATTAAAAAAGAAAAATAACAGACCAAAATAAACCCGGGAGGCAGACGCCTGTACTGCGCTGTGATTCTTCTATGATACTCTAGAGTATCACTGCTCTGCAGGCAAGGGTATGTGGCAAGAAGATCTTTAAAGAGTTGCTGGAAAAGAATAATGTTTTAATTCATAAAGGGTGAGACAGAAGAGTGCACTTTTGTAAGAGACTTTTCAAGTTCTTCCTTCCTGCAATGTGCAAACCCTGACAGCCTTTGCCTAAGGAGATGTGTGCTGCAAAGCGGCTCCGTCCCCTGGAAACCTCTCTCTTAAACGGAAAGCACCGAGCAATGAGTTACTGAACTCCCTGCTATAGGCAAAGGTGGTGGCAGAAAGACAAGTGAAGCCAAGAAACACTGAATGTAAAATTTGGATCCGGAAGCCGGTTCAGCGTGACGGGTGCTTACTGGGGACTGTGCACCTCGCAGACTGCCTGACTGCTGCCAGCCTGCATCTAAGAGAAAAAGGAACTAAGCTTAAGCAAATGAGCCATTGTTTGCCCTTATTTACCATGGACAGTGAAAAAAAGCTGTATTAATGCATTCACTTATGCTCAGCAACGTGGTCTTTGCTGCACATCAGCGGTTCTCCATCCTGGAGGCTGGTGTCACTCCAGTCCACCCAGGCCAGAGCAAAGCCTGACGGGATCCTCTGATTGCATTTGTAATTACTGGGCCATTTCAGGGACTGGACCTGAACCAGTGCAGCAGAGGAAAGGGTAGCCAGTCCAAATTATATTAGAGGAATGTACTCCTGCTGGAAATTGCATTAGTGGCTTCTTCCTTCCCCCGGCCCTCGATAAAAACTTGGAGCTGAAAAAGCACTGAGTTATAGCCCCATCCTTTGGGTGCTTTCAATTCACTCTGACAGCTGCCTGTGTGTTTTATGTAGGGCCCGCTTTGGATGTACGTATTTCAGCCAGTCTGCCATCAAAACACCCACAGCCCTCTTGAGTGAGAGAGTTTAAGTAGATCGATTTTGCTGCAGCCTTCCCATGTGAATTATTAGCCCCCCCTTGCAGAGCGCCGGGGTAACGCGTCCCCCTCCGCACCTCCGACGCGTTCCCACGTCAGACCCGAAGGCGCCGACGTGCGGGAGTTACTTCCCTTCGCCTGGGTGCGGACCCCCGCCCCGCTCCCCAGCCCTTCTGCTGGGGGCCCAGCAACCTTTTAACGGCAAATTTTGTCCGGGAGAAAAGAGCCTGGCAGGTGGCGGCAAAAAAACCTTACCTGGTGCCACGGCTGTGAGGAGGGGACGTGCCTCGCAGGGTGCTATCGCTCCCTGCTTAGGTTTCGAGTCATTGCTGGGGTTAAAGGGGAGGATAAACAGCTGGAGATGAGAAACAGGGAACAGTTCAGGCAACTGAACTGTCCAGCGATGTTGAAACACGTATATTACGGACCGGTAAGCGGTCTGACACCAAGCTGTTATGCTAATCTAAATACGTAAAATATTTGTTCTCTGCCCCTTGGCAGCCCGCAGGACGCAGGAGCGCTGCTTCGCTCTGTCCGCAGAGGGCCCCTGGCGAGGAGGTCTGCTGGATCTGCCTGGGCGCCGCTGGGGGCCACCCTGCTGCAAACGTCCAGAGTAAATGAGAGTCAACAGCAATAGGTGGGGAAGCAGCTTGCTGGCCCTGCATTATGACAGGTTTACTGCTTTTTATAACCCTGCGCTTAGCAGCATGTTGGAGCCTCTTTACCAGCGGAGCCACCGTTTGCAAAGCAGCAGCCAGCTGACAGTACTGCAGGGGGTACCTGAGATACGACGGGAAATAGGTACCACGTGGCAAGCGCCACGGAGCAGAAACTTGGGATAAACCCTGCCTATTTCGCAGTGGCACCGTTCAGTCTTGAATCAAAGAACCCAAAATGTCAACCAGTCCCAGGCACCAAGGCACAAAAGTGATTTATCAGCTGTTGGGCCCCTGCAACGCTGTTCAGCACAGCGGCTGGGGGGGCCCGGGGGGCCAGGGGTTTTTCCTTGCCTGGAGCATCCATGCCCAGATTTCACAGTGTGATGGTCTGTTTTGCAAAGCAAGTCAATATGTGAAGATTTAAGACTTTGTAATTTCTATTGTATAAGTGGTGGGTGTACCGTATTGGCATTTCAGAAGGGAAGGAAATCCCCTCCAAACACCCACCACACGGCTCAACAAAATGTCGTTGCTAAGGCGGAAGGACAGGGGCTTGACAGCTCTGATTTACAGAGCAGATCAGCCATGTCTGCAGTTTATTTAGGGACATACGCTATGGCAGCTTTCCAGACCCCCCTCTTGGTTTCACCAAACTTTGAAGCCTGCGATAAGTCACTTAACGCAGGACTGCAGTGGTGCGTGTCACGAAAAGGACACCGCGGCAGCGTTCCTAGCACTGAGTATTGAATTATTTCTCTAAACAAATCACTGGGAAGCGATTTGATCTGTTTCTGGTCACAAACAGGCCGTTTTGCTGTTGATAACAAAACGTGCCTTAAGCTTATTTCACCTGCCAGCCTACTCTTGCAACAGCCATCAGTGGCTTGGGGTTTGGGGTGTGCAACTGGATAACTCAGCTGCCCTAACTAGAGGGCTATTTGTTTGCTTCTTTCCTTTTTAATAAAAAGGGTAGTAATAAATAGTTATTTTTGAAAAGCTACATTCATGCAGGAATATCCTGTTTGTATATGGTTTTGAGTTTCTGCACCAAAAATTCTCATTCTTCTCACAGAGGAAAGCAAAACTCCTTTTGAGATGGTCTGTGGACAAAAAATACTAACGCGGCTAGATGAATCTTCCTCCTGTCCCGGGAACAACCACATACTCACAGGCCGTTTAGAGAACATAAGAAAATGCTGAAGGCTTAAGAAATTGTTACTAAATTAATATTTAATTACTTTACGCAAAGCAGAAGAGCTTCGGCAGAGGAGAGCGGTGTCCCAGCAGGAGCAGCAGCCTGAATCTGCGAACTCTCCGCACAAGCGGCAGACGAGCGCCACGCGGAGCAGCCGTCAGCCTTGCAGACGAGAAGCTGGCCCGCGGTCTTCCAAGTACCTCGGGGCCT